AAACAGGGTCTCACTGTAGCCAGGCTGTCCCACTCATGGTGCTTCTCCTGCCTCAGCCTCCTAGGTGCTGGGGTGACAGGCATGTGCCATCTCACCTGGCTTTAGGGGGCACTGGTCCTCGGTCGTGACACATCTTCCTTCTCACTTCCTTTTCTCCTCCCTGCAGCTTCCATTTGCAATTTTTTTCATTCAGTTTGCTCAAAAATAAAGCTGTAGCTCTCATGGGGGAGACTTCTCTACAGCATTATGTTGGGAGCTCAATGGTCTGTGTAAGACAAACATGTGTTTTACTCATTTATTTCAAATGCGAAAGTTAACAGCACCATGGATATGGAAGATTCAGTGTAGGGATCCCAAAATTTTATTGCAGAGTACAGGTCTACCTCTTCCCAAGGCATCGAGGAAATTTTGATAATTTTTTTGTTTTTAAAATAGGGTCCTGGGGGCTGGAGAGATGGCTCAGTGGTCTAAAGCACCTACTTGAAACAAGCTTGGCAAAGCACAGGGACCGCGGTTCAATCCCCCAGCACCACATGCCAGCCAGCCCCGCCCCCTTGTGGGCTGAGCTGGCCACACACACACACACACAATAAATAAATGTAATAAATAAAAATAAATAAATAATTTAAAAAAAAAAAATAGGGTCCTGGGCTGGTGAGATGGCTCAGTGGTCTAAAGCACCTACTTAGAACAAGCTTGGCAAAGCACAGGGACCGCGGTTCCATCCCCCAGCACCACATGCCAGCCAGCCCGCCCCCTGGTGGGCTGAGCTGGCCACACACACACACACACACACACACATAAATTTTTTTTTTTTTAATTTAAAAAAAAAAAAAAAGGTCTTGGGATGTAGCTCAGTGCAAAGGCCCTGAGTTACTAGTAGCACAGAAATCAAGACAATAAAAAACACAAGGGCCGGCCAGATAGCTCAGAGGATTAAAGTGCCTGCTTAGGCAGATGCAGGGACCCTGGTGTGCCATACGGGCCCCACCCCCCAGGGCATTCTGAGATAGCGATTGAGATTGGGCATGGTGGCACGCACCTGTAATCCCAGCACTTGGGAAGCTGAAAACAGGAGGATCACACTACAAGTCTGATCTGTGTAGTGAGACCGTGTACTAAATGCATTTAAAAAAAAAAAACACACAAAGCGAAAGACACAAACCACTGAAAGCATGAGAACGCTTGGCTGTAACACCAAGAGAAAGCGAATGAGTGAGAGTGAGCAGGGCTCCCCCCAGGGCGCGGCAACCTTGCAGCACAGCAACTCTGGTTTGTATGAGATCACAAAGCAAAGAACAGGCTGAGTCACAGGTGAGTAACAAGGACTGCCACTGGCTGCTCTGGTGCCCTGCCTGGTCACCACTCCATCCCTCCGGGCCACAGCAGCAGAGGCGCCGAGACCCTGGGTCTGGACAGGGCCCACAGAGCCAGGACTACGATGCCTGATTTTTGCCTGGGCCTCAGCAGGCTCTCTGTGCCTCTTCTGCCCCAGGGGTCCCCTCAGCACCCCATCCTTGTCCTGCCTCTGGCCCTCCCCTTCCTGTTGTCCCCCTGTGGCCTCTGATGTCTAGAGCCGCCTCCACGCAGAGATCAGAGCCTGGCACCTCCAGCTGGGCCCCAGGGTGGCTGCTTCCTTTACCCCCACTCCCACCCAGTTCCTCTTCTCTCAGCCAGTGCTTCTCCTGCAGGAAACCACCTGATCTTGCCTGGAGACCCTGAAAACTCCTGGATACCCCGGGGCAGGTGCAGACCCGGTCAGCTCCACGAGAGGTGGCTGCTCCTACTGCAGGAACCCACGCTTAGCCTCTGGCACCAGGATTTCTTCTTCAATAAACATCTCAGCAGAAAGCCTGGCTGGTGAACGTGTACAACTTTTGTCGCACCTAACCAGGACCCTAAACTAAGCACCTATAGCGAGTTAAAGAGATGGAGTTGAAAGAAAGGCAGACACTTTATCTGAAGGGAGGGAAAAGCAGAAGGTAGAAAACTGCCCCCACCCCCAGGAAGGGGCTTTGGGAAGGCTGGGGGACCTGTGGGCCTTTGCCCTGGCCTCTCTTATAGTGTGGCAGTGTCACCTCTGTTTCTGGGTCAGGGAACCAAGGACCTCGTGATCAGGGCATGCACACCGCAGCTTGGCTGTCCAAAGAGTGCCCTAGGATGGGAGCTCAGCCCTGGTACTAAATCAGAGGAACAAAGCGTAAGAGAGGAAGGCACTTTATCTGTCAAGAGGAGAAGGGAAGAGAAGAGTAGATAGCTTCAGGGCAGGGGCTGGGGGAAAGTGGGGGACCCTGGGCCCTTTGCCCCAGCTGCCTTCATAGGGAAACAGGGCCTCTTCCCACCAGGAACTTGCCCGGAAGGGCTGGGCTTGAGGCACCTTTGCCCAGAGGCGTGTCTCTACGGCGGCGCAGCTTCTGTCTGTCCGCTTGTCCTTGACCTACTTCCCAGGGCACTGTCCTTGGGTGGACAGCGGGTTGGCAAGGGGGCGCCTCACTCCTCGTTAGCTTAGAGCTGCTGAGGGGTGGAGCCGCCTCCTGCAGTCTGTGACTGCATGACTCTGCCGACTCCACAGGGACCCTGGAGTGAGCCTCTGTGCGCTAGCTAGGTGTGAGTTCTCAGGGCCTGGACGTCAGCCGGGCCATGCTCCCCATCTTCTACTGGAGGCGGGGCTGGTCTCCTTTGTGCGCTTGGCTGTCTCTGGTCCTGCCTGTCAGCTCGCTCTGGCCTCAGTGCTTTTCTTTACTTTTCTTTTTTTCAGTACTGGGGATTGAACTCAGGACCCTGCGCTTGCCAGGCAAGCACTTACTCTACTGAGCTATCTCCCCAGCCCCATTAGTGCTTTTAAGTTTTTTCCCTTCCTCTACCCCCATCCTTGACCTGCTTTCCCAAGGGAATTTTTCTATCGAAATTTGCTTTTAACTCCTCCTAGTCGGGATTAGCCCTGTGATGGCCTAAACCCAGACTCTTAGTGTTTAAGTACTGCCATGAAGGGCTGGCCAAATAACTCAGTGGACTAAAGCGCCTGCAAGCAGGCGCAGAGGCTGAGGGCTCATCCCTGGGCCTGTGGTGCTGGCCCCGCTTCAGGGGCACCCCAAGAGCACAACCGAGACTGGGCGTGGTGGCATGTGCCTGTAATCCCAGCTCTTGGGAGGCTGTAAACAGGCGGATCACGGCGAGTCCGATCTAGCAGTGAGGCCCTGAACACCCTGTAGACCCTTCTCTAAAAAAAAAAATACAAAAAAAAAAAAAAAAAAGATTGGTAATGCCATATATACTGTTTTGCAACCTGCTGCTTGAATGTACTGTACTTGTGAAGCTTGCTGTGAGCCTCGGGTGAGTGCCCTTGCCAAGGCTGGCACCACTTATCGTGGTCAAGGAGGCGTGCTTTGAATGAAGCTCGGAATGCCACTCACAGCGCGGTGGGCCTACTGAAAGCTCTGTCACCCTGAGACCCTGAGCACACTGCTCATTATGACCAAAGCTCTCGCGCAGATGGTGTGACTGAAGGAACCACTCGCTTTAGAGTTGTGTGATCACTTGGCCAGTCTGTGTAAGAGCCGGGAGGGAGCCCTAGGTGTGACTCGTGTAGTTTGGGAATGAACACATACATAGGGTCTTGTTAAATAGTATTTGGAAGGTAGGGAAGTGCAGGGTGTAATCCCAGCACTCAGAAGGCTGAGGCAGGAGGCTCTCAGGTTCACAGGTTCAAGGCCAGCCTAGGCTCCATAGTGAGTTCCCCAAGCCAAAGGCTTGGATTGCATCCATCCCTGAGTCAGGAGCTAATCTGCCATGACCCTCAGAGATGGTAGCAGGAATCATCAAACCACTAAAATGACCAACTATGCTCCTCTCTATTTAAATAGAAGAGTGCAGAGCAAGAGGGTCTGCAGGCAGGGAGAGAGCAGGCTAAGGGGCGCCTTGGCTTTTCTGCCTAATCCTAGCTAGGAGTCAAAACTACTGGA